CACCAAGAGGGATGGGGGGGGGGGGGCAGGAGGGGGGCGCCGCAAAACAGGGGGCGCCGCGTCACTTGGGAGTCATGCAGGGTGTGCTCATGGGCCAGGCGTGCCACGGGCGGCGCCGCCCCCAGTGCCCACAGGCGCACGTGCATCTGTTGTGCGCGGGGGATGTGCTGCAGTGCAGCGGGGGTGGCGCAACACCCCAGCCTAGGACTCTGCCCTCCGCTCTTGCCTAGGCGCAGCGGGCCCGGCAACCATCGCACGGGCAAAACGGATGGGTACAGTGCGGTTGCGGCGAGCAGGCGGGGAGGCCCACGTGGCTGCGCAGGCAGACCGCAACCCCCCAGGTACGCGGCCTGGCGTCCTAAGACAAAGCAGGCTCCGCCCGAGGATCTAGGTGGAAGGGGGTGAGACGGGAAGGCGGCCGCCGCTGACCCCGTCTGAGCAAGTGGACGCAGCGGGCCCGCCTCGCCGCTGGCGCGTTGTCTGTCATGCTGTGTGGCCCCAGCTGGATGGCTGTGACGCCCCACGCTGCGGTCCAGCGGGAAAGCGGGCTTCACGGTCCAAATCAGACGGGGCAAGCCCGCCTCCCCGCCATGCGGCCCGCCCCTGAAAGGGGAGGCCTGTTGCAGCGCCGCATCAGTACCGGGCCGGCGCCGCGCCGTACTGCGCCGCCGGCTGTGCCGCGGGCGCGCCGCCGCCCAGCAGCCTGCGTCGGTGGGACAGGAATATGGGGGAGAGCGACAATGGGCCGCGAGCCACGCTTGTTCGGGCGTGTGGGGCAACTCTGGCTTCCAAGTCGCTGTACTCACGCGTCCGGTTGCTGCACACAGACCCTTGGCGATAAGCAAACGAGGTCGGCTGCAGCTACATGCGGTCAGGATGCATGTTATCCTAATGAGCAGCCCACCTGCGCCGCGAGTCGCCCTTGAGCCCGTCCTCCCCGCCCGCCGCCGCGCCGGCGGCGGCGGCCTGCTGCTGCTGCTGCTGCTCCCCCGCGTCCTCCTCCCCCTGCGCGCCCGCCTGCTGCTGCGGCGCGGGGCCCGCGATGGGGCGCGAGCCCGAGGCGCCCTGCTGGTGCTGGTGCTTAAGGATCGTCCTGCGGCACAGCGACGCCAGAGGTCGGGGGAAGGGTCAGCTGCAGGCGGCCCGGGCCGCATAGGAGAGGTCCAAAACTTCTGTCGGGCCACAGATCAGTTGCCTTAGGTTGGTTGTTTGGCTCTTGTGCCTCTCTCCAAACCAAAGCACTACTTTTCCTGGCACGTCTGTAGCCCAACCCCTCCCCATTGGACGACCATGCCCTTCAATGGCAACACGACCGCCGCCCCCCCCACCAGTCAAACACATAGTCCCAGTGGTAACCGTCGCGCGCAAAGAGGTCCCTGAACAGCTTGCGCAGGTAGGAGTAGTCCGGCTTGTCGTCAAAGCGCAGGGAGCGGCTGCGGCGGCGAAAGCGGGGTTGGGGAGGGACCGCATGGGGGGATCGTCAGTCAGATGCGACAGGACTCGATTGGGTCATGGCTGCAGCAGGCATGAATGCGCTGGGGGCTATTATGCAACGGGTGGCAGCACAGCGCAATTGGGCTCGGAACCCGCTTCGGTCTGTCGAGGCGCCGCGACGGCGAGCTGAGAAGGCGCGGCTCAGACAGCGAGCTGAGCACTGCAATGGCAGCGCCGCCAACCCAGGGACCTGTATTGGAAGAAGCTGATAAACTCAGAAGGGTAGCCTCTGTTGAGTAGGAGGTGAGGCAGGGCGGGGCGTGGCGGTGGGAGTCAGGGGGGCTTGCGGCTGGAGCAGATAAGGGGTTAAGGTGCAGTCCAGGGGTTGACGGGGTCAAGGGCAGGCAAGGTGAGCATGTGGGGTAAATTGCAGTTGCGTCTCACCATATTTACACAACAGCCTCGCGTCACACGACGCGTTCAAGCTCGCCCCATTATGCACAGTGCCTTTTCCTCTCGGTCTCATGCGGCCCCGTGCACGCACCGGATCACCCGCTGAACCCCCTTCATCCACCCTCCCACGTCGCACCCCCTGTCCCGCCCCTCCAGCCCACCTGCACAGCACGTCGATGGGCGTGGACAGCTTCTTCTCGCTGATCTTCTCGTACTTCTGCCGCTTGGTCGCCGCCTTGAGGCCCTGCCAGGGCAGGCTGCCCCGCAGGAAGTACATCAGCACGTACCCCAGGCTCTCCATGTCGTCGCGGCGCGACTGCTCAATGCCCAGGTGCGTGTTGATGCTCGCGTAGCGCGCCGTGCCAGTCAGGTTCTGGGGGGGGGGGGCGACATTTGACGTGTGGATGTGTTGCAGTGTGGGCGACGTTTGATATGTGTGCACTGCCAATGTTTGTGTGAGTGTGTGTTGGCGGGCTGACCGCATGACAGGTTTGAGAGCCGGACATCCGGCAACCTGCAGGCAGGCCTGGCCAGGCGGGGCCACACCCACGACGCCGCGACCGGGCGCACCTTGTTCTCGCGGTACGGGATGTGGATGTGGCTCTTTGGGTCGCGGTACTTCTTGGCCAGGCCGAAATCGATGATGTGGACCTAAGGTTGGGGGTCAGCGCGGTGTGGAGGGCAGCCAAATCAACACAGGGGCCTCGCCGCTCGACGTTGACAGTGCTCAGCGGCAGGGCTGCGACACCGCCCACAACCAAGATGTGGGCGCGTGCGTGGGCCCAAGTGTCACCTGGTTTGCCTTCTTGCCGAGGCCCATGAGGAAGTTGTCCGGCTTGATGTCGCGGTGGATGAAGCTGCGCGCATGCACAAACTCCACGCGCGACAGCTGCAAATGTTGCAGGGGAGGGGAGGGGCAAGCGAGGCGGCCGTTCAGGCAGGGCGGCAAAGACCAGAGTGCGCCCGCATCTGCTGCCGCCTGTGCAAACAGCCGCTCGCACGCAGTGCCCCGGTTGATCCCGGGTAGTTAGCCAGGGCGGCCGTGTGATCAACAGCTGCGTGGCGCACCAGCTGGTCGGCCAGCATGAGCACGGTCTTGAGGCTAAACTTCCTGTTGCAGAAGTTGAAGAGGTCCTCCAGGCTGGGCCCCAGCAGGTCGATCACCATCACGTTGTAGTCGCCCTCCACTCCGTACCACCGCACGTTGGGGATGCCGACTGTGTGTGAGCAAGGGAAAGAGAGGGAGAGGTGAAGTGTGTGGGTGTGAGTCCGTGCGTGCGTGCATGCCTGTGCATACGTGTGTGTGCCTGTGCACGCGTGTGTGTGCAAAAAGGACGGTGTTTGAGAGAGTGCAGAATATGTGAGTGCACACAGACGTGGACCCGTGCGTTTGCTTGCGCAGCAAAGTGCCCTGTCTCATGCCCATATGCCTCCCTGCAGGCCCTCCGGACTTGTTGCATCCTGCTCGCGCCCATGCCTCGCCCGCGGCAGCCCCACAGCAGCGACCTGGCCCCAAGGTGCGGCGCCGCGCGGGCCCACCTCCTCCCTGGAGGATCTTGTAAAGCTTGGACTCATACAGCAACTGCGGGTGCTTGGTCTTCACGCTCTCCTGCGGGTAGGCGGGCACGCATGCACGTGCGCCTGAGCGTGCAAGTCTACCGCCGAGCACGGCCCAGCCAACATGTTGGTGCGTCTGCCAGATCACACTCGCGGTGTCAGGGCGCAGAGAGACGGCCTTGATCAACACCAGGCAGTCCGGGGCTGCAGGGCCCAGCTCACCAGCTTGATGGCCACCTCCTCGCCGGTCTGGATGTTGGTGCCCAGGTAGATGTCACCAAACGAACCGCCGCCTGGACAGGGGGTCGCATGAACAAGGTGTGTTCGAGGACGCAGAAGCAGCGCGCGGGCCCACGCCAGCAGCAGGCGCGCGCCACGCCGCTCGGCACGCGAAGCAGGCTGTTCTGCTGCCCGCAGCTGTACCGTGGCCGCTGCCGTCGCCGCCCGGTCCCTCTGCTGGCGCGCCTGCCCAGGCCTCCCCCCATCCCGCACCCACAGGCACGGCCTCTGCGCACCGATTTTGCGCCCCAGCCGGTACCGCCCGCCGATCCGAATGTCTAATGCCATTGTTGCAGAGCTGCAGCCCCTGCTTGCCAGAAAATCTTTACGTCAGCCCGAGGTGGTCTGACTGCGGGCGGGGGGCGCAGGCGCGCGCGCAGCAGTGCCGCGCCAGCAGCACAGTTGATGTTAGCACCCTGCCGGACCGCAGCGGCCGTGGCTGGAAAATCGTCGTGCCAACAAAGTCCATCGCGAAAGCTGTTCTTGCAGTGTCCCCTGGATGCGTGGACAGCAGGTTGGCCCAGCCTAGGGTGCACCGCCAGCGCAGCATGAGCGCTGCAAGCCGACCTCGCCCGCTGCCATGCTCACCGGCACCCGCACGATCGGCAGCCGGGGCTTGTGACCAGCCTCAGAACGCTTGGCCTGATCCCCTCTACCGTTCTGCGCGAGGGCAAGGTGCAAAGCGAGCCGAGCTGTGCAGCTAATGCACGCGAGCCAATGGGCCCAGACTCCGCTGCTCCCGCGTGGACGGCAGCAAGCTGGTCTATCAGCATCACCTGCCTTCAAGACACTGTCCACGATCCCTGCGACGAGAGGAAAGAGGTGCAGGGGAAGGTCAAGCCCGTTCCCTCGCCTCAGACAGCTGCAGAGCTCCCACAGTCTGCAAGCATGATAACATACGCTGTACAGAGCTCGAACCGAAGCCAGGCACCCTCACAGCGCCGGGAGACGCGATATTCTCACCCTGGGCGCCTGGGGCCCGCGCAGCACCACGCTTATAGTCTTCGATGGACCTTGTCTAAGAATATGACCTCGATCACGCGCAGAGCCACCTCAGAGTCCAGGCTGTCCCTGGAGTCTGATGTGTGTGCTGCAATGGCTGCCTGATCGCTGTGTCATGAGCATCGACAATTCATATCGCTGCAGAGCCGAGCGTCGAGATCATCTAGAATCGAGCGGCTCAGTGCCCGCTATCGAGCGTAGAGAAGCTGGCGGGCAGGTGTGTGGCAGTTGAGCGTCCTTGTCAGAAGGGTCGATGCAGGCACCCTGAGAAACTGTGTGCATGTGTGGCACTGCCAAGAGGGACCTTGGCTGTAACATCGCAGGTGTGTGCAATCCGCATACACCAGTTTCATGGCACGGGTGGGACTGGCGCTTGAGAGATGATGGCAGTGCACGTCATCACTCATCAGTGTCAACGCTCAACAGGCATGAAGCCAGGCGTATGGGACAACGTGCCGTACCTTGGGAGGCTTGCTTGATTCGCCCGAGCACACTTTCACTTGAGACAAATCGGAGGGGTGAAGATGCGATTACATGCCATTGCGCAGGGAAGGCACACAAGAGGGGACAGGCAGACACATGGCCGTCCAATCACATGGCCCGACTGCAGAGTACAACATGTGCGTGAGGGGCAACGGCGCCCAGTTCAGGCGCAGCCCAGGTCTTTGCAAGGCTTTCAGTGCAAGTGTAAGGCTTCGACGGGGCGTGCAGCATGGTAGATGACACGGCCCCCATTCGAGCACAGGAAGTGCAGCTTTTCAGGTGGTGACCGAAACAAAGCGACAGCTCCAAACGAAATGAAGGCTGCTAGCAAGGAAATAATCGGCACGGCGTGCGCGGGGGGTATGAATGGCGCCACTGGGCTGGTGACCACGAGTCAGCGGGCTCCCACAACAATGGGCCAAGCAGCAGGCCGGCACGCCCACATCACTGCTCCGTGCCCACTCGAGCGGTCCGGGCCGTTCCTCATCTTACTGCAGAAACCCCTCGCGCCCGCGGCCCGACCCGGTGGCCAGGCGGCCGCGCGGCCGCGCGTGGTCATGCCCGCCGTCACGCCGCCGGGGAGATCGTGTGTATCTTGAGGCGGTTGTCGTAGAGGCTGAGGCTGTCGGGAGAAATGTTCTCCCGCAGCAGCCCCAAGAACTCGGCGCGCGAGATGCGGCCGTCCCCGTTGGCGTCCGCCTCACGCAGCATGCGCTTGGCCTCCGACACGCGCTCGACATCGTCCCTGCGCACGCACAAGTGTGTGTGTGTGTGTGTGGGGGGGGGGGGAGTGCAGGCGCGGCAGCAGGGTGGAAGAAGAGGTCGCGGCTGCCTGGAGGCCGCACGTTTTCGCGCCTGAGGTCAACGGGGACCCCGTGCCGCCATGAGGCTCGTCACATGGCGCAACCACAGCCGTCCAAACGTGCACCTGAGCAGGCGGCAGCACCAGCGACACCCCCTCCCCACCCTGCCGCCACACCCCGCCCCCCAGCGCACCCCTGCAGGAAGTCCTCTGGCATGCGGTCCAGGAGCTCCTCCAGCTCTATGAAGCCGTCACCATCCACGTCCAGCCGCGAGAAGGCAGAATCCACGTACTCCTGCCACTCAGCCGTCTGCATGATCTGGAGGGGCAGGAAGTTCAAAGGGGGGTGCCATATTGCAGAGTCAGAGGCAGGCGGCATGCATGTGTTGCGCATCGCACATCGAAGCCGGGGCAGGCGGAAGCGCAGGAGGACGCGGAGAAGCTGCCGCTGACTGCGGTCGGGGGAGGGGGCCACGCGAAACCCGACAACCCTGCAGCGAGCCCCCCTGAGGCGGGCCCTCACCACGCCCCAGTCGATGAGGGCCGCCACGAACTCGTCGCCCTCCACGTGGCCGGTGTTGTCCATGTCCAGGCGGCTCATCAGCTGCCGCACCTGCTCGGCGTGTTTCGGAGGGGCATGTTTCGAGGCACGCAGCAGCGGGGCTGTTGCTTCAGCGCCTGGCTAGTGAGGGGCCGCGAGCGCCGCCACTCCGCACGAGCTGCAATTGGGGCCGGCCGACTCGAGCTTTGCGAGCAGGGGGAGAGAGCAAGCGCAGCTCCACGAGCGCTGCACTGGCCTGCCCCTTAGGCCCTCCTGAGTAGCGCCATTTGACCCGTGCAACGCAAGGGTTTGCCGCCCTCACCTCCGACTCGTTGACGTTGTACCCCTGCCTCTGCAGGCCGGTGGCCAGCTCGTCAAAGCTGATAGAGCCGCTGGAGTCGACGTCGTACTCGGCAAACAGCTCCTGGGGGGTTACACACAAGAGAGGGCATGCGTGTGGTGTGAGCATGGGCGGTGGTAATAACAGGAGGGGTGCTGCGCAATTGGCAAGGCTTTGTGGGGTTGGTGCAGGACAGGAGCGCAGGAGAGTGCACGCCTGCTGACCGGTGTGACGGCACGGTCTCAACAACATGACGGCTCGCATGAGCGGGCTGCCCGCGGCCTCCCACCTGCATGGCCGACGCGAGCGAGGGCGTCCTGCCCTTGTGGCGCATCTCCTCGGTGATCATGCGCAGCACGAGCTGCTTCAGGTGGCCGTAGGTCGCAAAGCGCTGCAGCCGGGCCACGACGCTGCCCTGCGTTGAGGGTTTGATGGGTGGTTTAGGAGCGGTGGGCTATGAGCTGTCATCGACCCACGCAGGGCTCACAGTAAAGCCTGTAAGGGCACGGACAACACTTGACATCATATTTTGGGGGAAGGGGGGAAGCAGCTGCGGGCCCATGCGCCTGGTGGTGTTCAGCCCGACCTGGGGTCCCAAGGGCTGCAGCAGTGGCTGCTCCTGTGCGATCGAGGCGTTGAAGCTCGCTGACGTCACCGTCCTTGCACGCGACCCCGCGCACCTTGAGCGGCACGTCGCTGGCCAGGCCGTCGTCCGCCAGCCAGGGGTCCTCCAGCGCCTCGCTGGCGCTGGGCCGCAGCTGGGGGTTGCGCTGCAGCAGGCGCTGCGCAACAGGGTGCGGAGTAGGGCACAAGAGGTTCGCGGGATCAGGCGCTCAAACGCCCGGGTCGCAGGAATGATGTATGGCCGGGCAGCAAGCTGGGTGGCTTGCCGGCGCCGCGCCGAGCAAGCGCGCGCATGCCTCCATAGGCCGTGTGACACAGGGCAAGCGACGCGCGTCCCGCACGCCCTTTCCTATTAGTCACACGAGTCGCGCACCTCCAGGAAGTTGCGCGCCGGCCTCGAGAGGACCTGCAGCTCTGCCGCCTCCCAGTTGATCTCCTGGGACAATACAGCCTGGAGGGGGGTGTGGGTTTGCGAGGGAGAAGAATGCCGGGAATGCGAGAGCCTTGGACTCTGGGCGCTTCAGCTGACAAAGGGGTGCACTGCAGAGTCGGGAGACTCAGGGCGGAGCTTGTCGTGCGGCAATCCACGTAAGACCGCCAGGTCGGGGCTGGCGCTCTTACACACGACGTGGGCGGCGGGGCCAGGGCGCCCACTCGTGCACAGTGTGTTCATGCGTGCAAGCGCACAGAGGGGCCCCACCTTCCACACATCACTAAGGGTCTCGTTGCGGACATCCTCCCCTGAGAGGCAAGGGGGTTGATCGAATTGGTGGGGCGGCAGCTTGAGCCATGGGGTGTGGGGTAGCCGCCCGGGCACGCGCGCGTGCGCATATGCGGTCAACCGGCGAAGCGGCTTGCCACGTGGCGCGCGCGTGATGAGCGTTGCACAAGGGGCTGGTGCTCACAGAAGGGGAAGCGGCCGGTGAGCAGTTGGTAGGCCATCATGCCGACGGACCAGATGTCACACTTCTCGTCTGCGGCGGATTGTGCAGGGCGGGAACGTGAGGGGTGGCTAGACTCAGCACAAACCGACCGCAAGCGGAGGCAAGTCGGCGCCAACAAGTCTATGAATGGTGGACTACCGCAGCCCCAACACTCGTGGTGCACCCCCTGGCGCAGCCTCACCGTAGCACTGCATCACCAGCTCTGGCGACATGTAGGCCGGAGTGCCTGTGAGGGTGGAGAGATGTGTTGTGGAACCAACAGCCCAAACCTCGGCGGCACGTGGTGCGCATGGTGGGCAGTGCAACAACAGGCACTCGCTCAGAATCAGGTGCCCAACAACAGTCCGACCCCAGCCAGCTCTAACAGCGGCCTAGAGGAGAAACTGCGCCTGGGCACCCACACGCACGCATGCGCGTGCATGCGGCACATGCATGCGAACGCGTGCACGCAAACAACAGCGCGCGCACACACATGCACACACGCACACACTCAGCCTCACTTATACACACACTCTCTCCGCCCCACACACACACACACACCTGAGCGGCTGGTGAGCTTGGCCTCCTCTGTGCTGTGGCGGATGGACAGCCCAAAGTCAGTGGCCTTGAGGGGCGAGTCCTCGTCCTTCGACAGGAACAGGAAGTTGTCTGCGGGGCGGTTCCGAGGCGGGGGTGTGGGGTGCTCAGAGGCTGTCATGATGAGAGTATCATCAAGGAAGAGCAGCGGGCGGCACGTTTTGATGTGACAGGGAGGGGAAGGGGTTCGGCAGCCTGCCCTTCAGGGGGACCTTTGCAGCTGGCCGTTGAACGCAAGCTGCAACATGTCAGTCGGGCGTTGGGGCTTTTGCCTGCATTTCCCCTGCCCTCACGCGCTGGCACCACATCTACTAGCTGTTGGATCCCCTCCAGGACCCCATCACATCCATATACAGGCGCAGAAACAGGCGCGCAACACAGGCGCTCAAATAGGGCGCGCAAAACAGCAGGCACAAAACAAGCGCACAGGCGCGCGCACCGGGCTTGACGTCGCGGTACACGATGCCCTTGGCGTGGCACTGTGCGATGAAGCGCAGGATGGAGCGCACCAGCCCCGCGATGTAGCGCTCGCTGTACGCGCGCGACTCCACGCGCTCCAGGAGGGCGCCGCTGCGGGGCGGGGAAGGTCACGCACAGGGGCACGCACAAGCGTGTGTGTGTGTGCATTTGCATGTGTGCATCTGTGTACATATGTACATGTGTGTGTGCGTGTGTGTGTGTGTGTGTGTGTGTGTGTGTGTGTGTGCATTTGCATGTGTGCGTGTGTGCATCTGTGCGCATGTGCGCATGTGTGCATGTGCGCATGTGTGTGTGCGTGTGTGCGTCTGTGTGCATTTGCATGTGTGCGTTTGTTTGAGGGGGGGTGAGGCGCTTGGACTTCACAAGGCAGCGCCCTCGCACCCAGCGCAGGGCTGCGCGCCCCCGAAGCAGGATAGCGCGCGAGCGCTGCACCAAGCAACCAAGTCTGCCCGCGTCCCTGCCTACTCTCAACTCCCATTTTCAAGTCGGCGCTGCTTGTCCTTGCCTCTTCGCTGCTTGTCAACCCAGCCATTTTCAATCCACGCTGCAGGCGGCCTGATCGCATGCAATTGCGGCATGCACGGTCCCACCAGCCACCCTCCCCCCCACACCACGCCTCCCGTCGGCAGCCCGTCACCCACCGCCCTCCAATGC